TCTTCCACACAGGTTAATGTCGTCGATCAAAGGCTACATACAACCTCGGATAGGTCCTACATCCTTAGTGGATTCTCTCGACCTCTTTCATACAGGTTAACGTCGTCGAGCAAAGGCTCCGACATACAACCTCGGATAGGTCTTACATCCTTGGTGGATTCTCTCAACCTCTTCCAGACAGGTTAACGTCGTCGAGCAAAGGCTCCAACATACAACCTTGGATAAGTCCTACATCCTTCGTGGATTCTCTTGACCTCTTCCACACAGGTTAACGTCGTCAAGCAAAGGCTCCGACATACAACCTCATATAGGTCCTACATCATTAGTGGATTCTCTCGACTTCTTCCACATAGGTTAACGTCGTCGAGCAAAGGCTCCGACATACAACCTCGGATAGGTCCTACATCCTTAGTGGATTCTCTTGACCTCTTCCATATAGGTTAACGTCGTTGAGCAAAGGCTTAGATATACAACCTCAGATAGGTCTCACATCCTTGATGGATTCTCTCAACCTCTTCCACACAGGTTAACGTCATCGAGCAAGGCTCTGGCATACAACCTCAGATAGGTCTTACATCATTCATGGATTCTTTTAACCTCTTTCAAACAGGTTAACATCATCAAGTAAAGACACTGACATACAACCTCAGATAAATCATACATCCTTGGTTAACGTCACCAGAATGCCGTCAATGGACTTCCGTCGGACTTCTCCATAAAGTTAAAAATCTATCTGATGTTGAATTTCCTCCTGTCGCTGAATTTTTTCCTTGCAGAACTTTCGTCTGACTTCTGCCAGTCAATGGACTTTCATCGGTCTTCTGCCCGATGATGTACTTCTGCCCAACGTTAGACTCCTGCTCGTCATTGAACTTTCATTGGCTTTCTGCCCGTTGTCAGACTTCTGTCCAATGCCAAGCTTCTTCCCGTTATCGGAATTTTGTATAGCATAAGTTTTATCGGATTTCTACCCGACGCAGAGCTTTCTCCCGTCGTTGGACTTCTACACAATGCTGGAATTCTCCCTGTCGTTGGACTTTCGTTGGGATTCTGCCTGACGCAGAGTTTCCTCCCATCATTAGACTTCTTCCCCTCGATGGACTTTCGTAGGTCTTCTACCCAACATTGTACTTCTACCCGACTACGGACTTCTGCATTCCGTCGGGCTACTACCCGTCGTCGGACTTCTTCCCGTCGATGGACTTTCATCGGTCCTCTACCCAACTATGGACTTATGCCTGCCGTCAGACTACTACCCGTCATCAGACTTTTGCCCGTCGATGGACTTTCGTCGATCTTCTACCCGACGTTGTACCTCTACCCGACTACGAACTTCTGCATGTCGTTAGACTACTACCCTGAGTTGGACTTCTGCATGCCGTCGGACTACTAATCGTCGTCGGACTTCTGCCTGTCGATGGACTTTTTTCGGTCTTCTACCCGACGCTACACCTCTACCCAACTACAAACTTCTTCCTTCCGTCGGACTACTACCCATCGTCGGACTTTTGCCCGTTGATAGACTTTCGTCGGTCTTCTACCCGACATTGTACCTCTACCCGACTACGGACTTCTGCCTGTCGTCGGACTACTACCAGTCGTCGAACTTCTGCCCGTCGATGGACTTTCATTGGGCTTCTACTCTATGTTGAATTTTTACCCCTCATCGTACTTTTTCCTGACATCAGAATTCTACTCGACACCAAGTCTCCACCCTTCATCGGACTTCTGTTCACCGTTAGCCTCCTACTTGACGCCGTATTTCTACCCGACACCGGGTTTCTGCACTTCAACAGTCTTTTCAACCTCCCTCCTCAGAACGATCTCTCCGACCTCCATCTCCAAACAACTAACATCAGAACTCCGCAGGATATCTCAAAGAATAAAATAAGAATTGGGGATCTTCGGACTTCATTGCAAAGAGAGGGGCCTTGTAGAACCATGGGAAAGCCTCAATTGTAAGAATAGAGGGAGAAGGGAAATTCTCTGGACTTCCTTGCAAAGAGAGGGGCCTTGGAGAACCAAGGGAAAGCCTCAATTATAAGAATAGAGGGATAAGGGAAAATCTTCGGACTTCCTTGCAAAGAGAGGGGCCTTGGAGAACCAAGGGAAAGCCTCGCTTGTAGGAATAGAAGGGGATGGGAAAATCTTCGGACTTCCTTGCAAAGAGAGGGGCCTTGGAGAACCAAGGAATAGCCTTAATTGTAAGAATAGAGAGAGAAGGGAAAATATCCGGACTTCCTTGCAAAGATAGGGGCCTTGGAGAACCAAGGAAAAGCCTCAATTATAAGAATAGAGGGAGAAGGGAAAATCTCCGGACTTCCTTGCAAAAAGAGGGGCCTTGTAGAACCAAGGGAAAGCCTCAATTGTAAGAATAGAGGGAGAAAGGAAAATCTTCGGACTTCCTTGCAAAGAGAGGGGCCTTCTGAGAACCAAGGGAAAGCCTCAATTGTAAGAATAGAGGGAGAAGGGAAAATCTCCAGACTTCCTTGCAAAGAGAGGAGCCTTGGAAGACCAAGGGAAAGCCTCAATTGTAAGAATAGAGAGAGAATGGGGAATCTCCAGACTTCCTTGCAAATAGAGGGGCCTTGCAGAACAAGGGAAAGCCTCAATTGTAAGAATAGAGGGAGAAGGGAAAATCTCCGGACTTCCTTGCAAAGAGAGGGGCCTTGGAAGACCAAGGGAAAGCGCCTGTTCGCGCCGCGTGCTCGCCGGCGGCCGGCCGGTTTGGTCGTCAAACATTCCTGGGCTCCGATTTTTGGCCCGGACGGACCAGATTGGACATTTTTGGGGTCCCCGAACACATTTTTTGACGTTCTGGACTCGATTTTGACATTTTCGGAGCTGAACGGGACTTCTTTGAGCAAGCTTGTGCAAGTGTTCAACTTTTGGAACGCAATTTTATGTGATTCGGCCAATGCAAATTATCAACGTATATATTTTCGGACTTCTAGGGCTTCGATGTCCGAAAATAGGAGGGCAACTGATATGTCATAATGAAATTATCTTGATCGGGCACGAATCTCGACGTAAAAATCAAGTTGGAAACTTTAGAAATTAAATTCGGGTACACCCAAACTCCAATTTTAGCAATCTTATATTCAAACTGAACATCTCGAAAATACAAATCCAACGACACCAAATTCGACTCAATCTGAGCCCAAATGAGCCCAAATCGAAGACTCGAAGTGCTGTTAGAAGGTTCGAATCACAATTTGAGTTACCAAACGGTTTGCAATTTTAACGAGCTCATACTCGAATCGAACGGCTCGACGAGACGAATCCAATGAGCCTAATATCACTGAATTCCTACATCACTGAGGCTTTCAAATGTCTGACGAACGGTGCAAAATCGTATGATTCAATATCGGCCATCCATTCAACCACTCCCCATTCGTCCCTGATCTCTAGCCTATTTACGAGCTATGCCACTCCAGAAAAACTATAAATAGAGCTCTTTTTCTTCACAAAGTGGGGGCCAAGCAACAAGAAAAGAGGAGAAGAGAAGGAAGAAGAGAAGGAAGAGAAGGAAGAAGCTCCTCCTCGACCACCGTCGAAACCTCGCTGGACCACCGTAGGAGCCTCGCCGGACCACCGCCGGAGTTTCGCTGAATCGCCGCCGGAGCTTCGCCGGACCACCACATGAGGCCCTCACTGTCGCTGGACCATCGTCAGAGCCTCGCTAGACCCTCGCTGGACCACCGCCGGAGCCTTGCCGGACAACCGCCGGAGCTTCGCCGGACCACCACCCGAGGCCCTCTCCTTCGCAAGAGGCCCTCGCCTTCGCTAGAGGCCATCACCTTCGCTGCAACAGCGGCCCGGACTTCTGCTGGGCTACTACCTGACGCCTAGAGTTCTACCAGAGTACTGCCCTACTACAATGGTCTTTCTAACCCCGGTCTCCTGCCGACTACGGTCCTTCCGACCTCCGTCGCCTATTATGGTCCTTCTGACCTCCATCAACAGACCACGAACTTTCTGACCCTGGTCTCCTACCGACTACGGTCCTTCCGACCTCCGTCTCATACTATGGTTCTTCTGACCTCCATCAATTGATAACGGTCTTTTTGACCCAGGTCGATCTCCTGCTGACTACGGTCCTTCTGACCTCCGTCGACTACTATGGTCCTTCCGACCTCCATCAATAGACAACGGTCTTTCTGACCCCTGTCTCGTGCCTATTACTTTCCTTCTGACCTCCGTCGCTTACTATGGTCCTTCCGACCTTCATCAACAGACAACGATCTTTCTAACCCCGGTCTCCTGCCGACTACAATCCTTCAGACCAACCAAACATGTATATATAACTCCCACCATGTAATGCAATCTATATGATGTACATTTGCTACATCAATCCAAGGCCTTCTCTCAAGGAAGGGCCTCATTTGTAATCGACTGCAAATATTAGTGGATTCATTCAAATTGGACCAGGCCCCGTGGTTTTTTCCCCTTTTTAGGGGTTTTCCACGTAAAAATTCTGGTGTCTCTTATGAATGTTACGCCCTCTCACTTTTCTGATTGTGTGCTGGATTTTCGTACAATGCTAAGACATTAAACTATATATTTCTCTACCGCCGCGAATACTCCAGGACGCAACAGAATTTAATATAAGTTTATCATATAATATTCTACATTATTAAAAAAATAAGAAAAAAATTTTATTGTTATTCATGAAAAAATATTAGTCTTTATTTAATAGTATGATATTTTTTTTATTTTAAAACACATTTTACTAAAAATTTAAACACAATATAATATATTTTAAACTAAGTTTATCATATGTTGGATTATCCTAACAATATATAAAATTGTGTAACTTGGAGCATCTCATTTCATTCATTAATTTATGAAACTTACGGGTAAAGAGGAGTTACTTTTAAAACTTATAGATATTAAACTAAATATATCATTTGTTGGAATATCCTAACAAATTTTCAATCTGCTAAAAAAATTAAAAAAGACATTTCTAGTATTAATCCTTAGATCATAATACAGTCCAATATCTAATATTATAAAATTTGACACACAATTATTTTTTAATATCATTCTGATGATTACTTAGATCACCTTGTCCTCGTTAAGATACTTTGTCTTGAGCATATATTGTTGCTTCTTCGCTCCGCAAATTCTCATTATGAATGGTCCGTGCCGATCCCGAATTGGATTTAAAGTTTTTTTTTTTTTTTTTCCTTTTTTTTTTTGTTGAAGTATACCACAGGGTGAACTTTGAAGTGCGAGCTGCATTCAATCATATCTAATAGGATTTTATTCAGCTACCGGCGATGGCGGCGTCAAAACCGGTGAGCTGCAAGAACTTGGCGGCGGCGGTTTTGGAGGTAACGTCAGATCCGCAAGAACATCTCGAAGATGGCGCCGGAATATCAACGTTGCAACCAATGGAGATAGCGGCCGTATTTCCGCTAGTATGGCAGTCTTCCATATACTCCCGTACACTGGACGAGATACAGAACACCGTGTGTGTGCCAGGGAAGAACTTTGGCTCCATGAACATGGATGAGTTCCTTACCAACATTTGGAATGTCGAAGATGGCTTCGATGCTTCAGGACCTGCCGTTCAAGCCCAATACCCTGTCGAAGGTCAGCCGCCGCTGAACAGGCAGGGGTCTCTCTCTCTTCCATCCCAGCTCTGCAGAAAGACGGTGGACGAGGTGTGGGCCGAGATCCACCGCGAGCAGCAGAATATAGACCGCTTGAAACAGAACAACGGCGAAGCAACGCGGAAGCCTACTTTCGGTGAGATGACACTGGAAGATTTTCTCATTAAGGCAGGGGTGGTCAGGAAAGGCAACGGATTGACGGCTTGCGCAATGGAGGCGAACGGAGCACCAGGTTTGGGCCATTTGAACGATGGAGGAGCGCTCGGAAATGTGAGAAGAGGAGATTTTTACTGCAAAACCGGTGATGCTGGCGGTGGATTGCAGTTGGGAATGGTTGGGTCGCCGGCAAGCCCGCTGTCGGCGGATGGGAAGGGGGGATGCTACGGAGGCGTCGATTCGTACGGAATCGGAATTGATGGGTTTTCTGAGAAGGGATGTGGAGGACGGAAGCGAATGATGGAAGGGATGGTGGAGAAGGTCGTGGAGCGGCGCCAACGGAGGATGATAAAGAACAGGGAGTCTGCGGCAAGATCACGCGCTCGAAAACAGGTAACGTCGCTTTTCCATTTTTTTTTTTTTTGGTTTATTTATTTATTTCTTTCTTTTGGTTGTTTTGATTAAGATATTCAAATATCTTTTTATTCTTTTTTAATTAAATAATTAGATCAAGTTTAATAACAGTTTTTGTCGTTGTTGGTTTCCTTGTTTATGTTTAGCTGCTATTGTTTGAATTTTGTGCGAGTGTTCTAGTTAGATTATTTGGCATTAATTCTTTGGGAGTATTCAGGCTTATACGGTGGAGCTGGAGACGGAGCTTAACATCCTTAAGGAGCAGAATGCCCGGCTAAGAGAAGAGGAGGTAAATATTCTTTTCTGTACTTTAACTTTATTAAAACCCAAAGCCAGCTTAGGGATGATATAAAATTAGATTTTATTTGGACGGTTTTCTTATTATTTTTTCAAAAAAAAAATTGTACAAATTTTTTTTTATCAAAAAATTGCTTTAGAAAACAATAACAAAATTATCCTAAATGGAACTTTAATTTAGTAGGAAAGACTTTTGATTTAATTGCGAGTTAAGTTTCTTTTAATTTTGAATTAATACTTGTGTTATCACTCTCACTTCACTTCTTTTTCGATTTTTAAAGATCATTGAATACTTCTTAAATCTTCTTGCACTGCAAGTTACTAATGTCTTTTGTGTTCATTTCTTTTTTTAAACTTCGATTTTTTCCAGAGGAAGGCAATGCAAATAAGGAAGCAAATGGTATGTTCTTGCACTATCTTCAATTTCTTGTTGCAGATTTCACCCTCATTCCAGAATTGTTTAGTTTGATAAAAGCCTATTAAAAACTCGATAGTTACATTTATTAGAAATTTCATTCAGTAAATTTTAAATTATCAGGGTTGTATAGTTTAAAATAAGTTCGATAAAATCTATTAAAAAATCTAACTTTAAACTGACATTTGCAAGTAAACCGATATCATCAGAATCTCATTCGTTTGCGACCTGCTTTGGCTTTATTATTTGTAGCTTTTGGAGGCAATGGCAAAGCAGACACATCACCACATGGACAAAACTAGCCGCTCACTTCAACGAAGCAATAGCAGCCCCTCTTGAAGAATCACCTTCTATGTAACGGATGTTAGGCCAGCTGCGAGCCTTACTTTTTGTCCTGTTGGTATAAATAGCTGCCAACTTTTCTTATCTAGTGATAAATTAGGATTTATTTGGGATTATTTTTTTATTGTTTCTTAATATAGTTTTTAGTATGAAAATTTAACTTTTCATACTAAAAAACTGATTAAAAAAATAGTAACAAAGTCATCCCTACCGAAGCCTTAGAATAACTTGTGTGTGTTGAGATTTGTAGCTTTCCTACTGTTATAAGAGGTGTTTGTAACAGCTACAGTAATTATAATCCTACAAAAAAAAAAAAAAAACCAGCAGCTTCATGTTTGATGATCTTTGCTGTTTCGTCAATCTAGCAACATGAATACTTGACTTTTAGTGCGATGAGTGCAAATTTATCGTTGTTAACAAGGAATGCCAGTTTCCTTGTAATCACGTGTGCTGTGAACTGTTTTGTTGTTGTTGTTGCTTTAACTTTGGGTAGGTAATTAATTTATAAGATATGAATTATGTGTTTTAGAGGTACCTAACAAGTTTGGCTGAAACAAATATATTCATATCACAATCAGTTAGTTTCTTGTGAGAGAAGCTTTAGGATTCTGGTGAGAGACTATCTTGCATACAATTTCGATATAGGTGGCTCCTCGCATTAAATCTTTTGGTGGCAAGAAGAGGATCAAGGAGGACGGTGGTTCTGAGGATTCTGACCTTCAAGTTAGATAATTCAAAATAAATAATACTAGATCTGTCAGTTCGTGAAGAACAATCCAGTTTAGCAATCGGATTACAAGATCAGGGGTGAGGAAAGAATTTCATTTAGGTGCCATATCTGAAAATTTTAAGGTTGGTATTAATCTGTAAAGGGAGAGGAAATGCTCTTCATTCTTAATTACAATGGAAGATGCTAAGAAAGATCTTCTTGTCAATAAGGAGTTACAACAATCTGGAAATCTATCTTCTAATTCATTTCAAATCTCTAACGAAGATACTCATCTATTTTCAATAGAAAAAGATAGTAATTCAAGCCATTTTAATCTACTTTTTGAAGAGAAGAATGTTGATCTTTTGGAAGTAAAAAAAAAGGAGAATTGAAGTTTCAAAATTCTGAAACTGCCAAATGTCGTGTTCGAATGCAAAATGACATTCATGGTGTTAATCTACAAGCCCAGTTGGGTTTAGGATTTATGAATTCTTCCTCTTTGGTTGAACCATAAGCGACACGCTTAAATTTTGAAAAAGATCCTTTAATCATTTAGTTCCAAACTGTAAAATTAATGACATTAATGCTCATGTCCACCAAACATCTTGATCTATGAAGACCGTTTTCAAAATGTACAAGTGACGAGAATTTAAATCTCTAGATTAAAAAGCCCATCTCAATCAGGTTTCTTCCTATATTAAAGCTTTGCAAAAGCCTAAAGTCTCTCTTATTTATGAAGTGGAAGATATTGCTGCAATATTAGGTGATGGGGTAACGGTGTTACCAAGTATTGAAGATGCCAAGCAGAATGTGAGACGCCTAAATACTGCTCTTATACGGAAGGTGTTGGGTCTTGGAAAGGTATTCAAAATGTGGAATATGAAATTATTTATACCTTATATTTTAAATGTGGCATCTTGGGACATATAAGTCCTAATTTTCCAACCAAACCAGCGAATTCAAATTTGGCAAATATAGTTACTTAAGTTAAGCAGACAGACACGACATTGAAAAGAGAGGTAAATGTTCATACTAATTTTAATTCAATTCAGCAGGGATTGCTCAAAGAAAACAACTATGGGCCTTGGAACATTATTTCTTGGTCATAATATAAGCCCGCTATCAAAAATAAAATAAACCCCAATATTATGAGGACGAACTCGTTTCTTACCTTGGGTAAGCAGGCAGACCAACAAAGGGATGGCGAAAGTTAAATAGCACAACTGATGGTGATCTCTTTAAGGGAAAGGAAAATGTTGTAGACAAAGAAAAGGAAGATGGTTCTTGGAATTATGTGACCGAAAGATGGAATTATCCAAGTCTCAATTCTTTTTAATGAGACCTCATAGAAAAAACCGAACATAATGCTTCAAATAAATTGGTCAATTGCCATAAGACTGTGGATCATTCAATTTAACAACTTTTTAGTTTGGGATGTAGTTCTAAGAGGCTGCAAAAATTTGATATGTTGGCTTCAAGTATGCGTATGGAAGTAGACCAATAGTAGGCTGATTCAGCATCCTTCCTCAAATGTCAAGAAAGTAAAGTAAATTCTACTTATGCTTATATTAATAAATGTTTCATTACTCATAAGGCGAGGACACATTCCCTTTAGTTAAATGAATTTTCCAATGTAAGCCAAAACAGTGATGCTCGTTGGTTCATGACATAGAATGTGCACATAAGCCTAAGTGCATAGGTTGTTTGTTTTGTTACCTTCTATCAATCTATGCTTTTTTTTTTAAACTTCAAATAGGTTGATTCAAATAGTTGTTTCTTGGAGGCTAACTGATATTTTCTTTGAACATCATTGGAACCACTTGGATGTTAACCAACCCTTATGGTTGTTCTCAAAATATTGGCATCCCCATCATTCCAATTTGATCAAAGAAATAATTGTTATGTCACAAACTCACTATATTAATGGCACGTTATTGGTAAATGGGAGCAAGAGGCTGGTAAATGATAATCTTCACTCCATGGTCCTCTTAGTTGACAATATTTGTGCTAAAATTTCTTGTAGTTGCAATTTTGTCTTCATTAGTATTTTCTCTCTCTTTTCTTTTATAAAGAGATGAATAGTTCTCAGGTTTGATTTCCTTGTTGATATCTTTGTAATTCTTTCCTTATTTTTGTTAAAAAATGTATTATACAACCTTTTAAAAAAAGGTTATATAAAAAGAAGTTTATTGGAACTATCATACTATCCGTTAAAGGGACCTGAATTAGGGAACAACTCATCCCTATTTACTAGATCAAGGACTCATTCTAGGATTATACACCAACGTACTCATGCAGATTTGTCCAACCTTTTGTGAATTGCTTAATTTTGCAAAAACTGTCCATTTGAGGTCCGTTTCTATCATTTATGCCTTCAAGATTATAATGATATTCTTTAATCCAACTAAAGGAAGTGCATATCTTAAGGGTCCATGACTACGATCCTCAAGACTTTTAGACAATATTTAGTTAGTGTCATTCTTATCCAAAAGGGCTCGTCCCTTGACATAGAGTTCCATATATTATCTCTAAGGCTCAAACTGCATATATAGGTATAACATACATAGATTCATCTTGCATAGTATATCTTGACGCTCACCCAACACACTTTCCCTTGAAGACTCACCCTCAAGCAAAGGCCCATCTGAAAAGCAGTAAGCCATGAGAGCATTATGAGCCTATCAACATATCTTTTATAATTTATAATGGATCAGAATGAATATTGCAGTTTGTTTAGTGTAGCTATCCCTATAAACCATCTAAATCCTATAAATAAAGAGAAAAATATCTTTTTTGGATCTTTAGGGATATTCTTTGATTTTTTGGCTTGCTTTATGCTCCCTTCCCTTTTTCTTTCTTTGTTCTCAAACATACTCGAATATATCTATATTCTCTAGTTTTTTACTAAAAAAAACTTGCTAGTATAGTTAGGTTTAACTTAGAAAGTTGTTTTTTTTTTCTCATTGGCGAAGGGGATGGCAGTAGTCAACATCAACAAACCAATTGACAAGTCGTTAAAAACATACTTGGCTTTCTAATCCCCAGCCTGGTTCATATGGGCACATGTCATCTATGCACCTAAAGAAAATTTAATGTACATGTCCTTGAACGATGATAGTTTAAAAAGTAATATCTTTAAAGTTATCCTCTTTACAATAAATTTTTCTAACTTCATGAGTTTGTGCAATAAATTTCAAAGAAAAATGAAAAAAATGTAGAATATTTGACCTTAAGACAGATAACAAGGAGCTTTTATGAGTTGGTTTTCAGTGCCATTCAAGAACCGCATTGCTAAATCTCCACAACACTGTAGTTCTTTCAAGGAAGTCAAAGCGTCGAATCCCTAGAGTACCATTGTGGAGCAATTAATTCAATTATTCTGTGAAAATGACCTGTCGATTTGGAATTAGAGGCACAACACTATTCATTATAAACACAATGGTGCTAGTTCAATTAATGAGTGCCACAGCACTACTACGTTGAATGTCTATGTGTTACTTCTAGGTAGGGTCCAATAGTGAGCAATGAGTGTGTGTGAGCAAGTAGAAAAGCATCAAAAGGAAAGAAGAGTTTTATTATGCTTTTTCAAGGGAAAATCTTGTTCTACCCGTTGTTAGCTTTATTCTTGTACTTATTTTTATAATTATAATGAAGTTTTTTATAATTATGTTGATTTTCATGATAGGGCTAAATTATTCTTTAGACTTATGATTTGATAAGAATGTCATATCACGTCTAAGTGTTAAAAACAATTTTTTGAAACTTGTACGCTCGACCTAGTGTTTTGATGAATAGAAACATTATTGGTTTGATCATTTATGGATTTTTTTGCATTATATATATAGTTTTCTTTGTGTGCTAATAACTTTTCAAGTGCAATGTATAGTGAGCCACGGTAGAGAAAAGAACTCAAGAAGTGCAACAGTGAGTCTAGTTACATGTTGACTGTTGTAATAACAAAACTCTATAATTTTTTTTTTATTTCTTGAGTTAGTTTGTATTGGGTGTATGTTGGAAAGGAGAACAAGCATGCATACACATGTGGGGGTGAGAAAATTAAAAACTTAATTTTCTTTGTTATATTTTAATGTACAATTAGCTATTTCAAAAATTAAATTAATTTTTAACATAACTAATTATATTGTACAACTTACAATTGTATAAGATGATTAGATACTTTAGTAAAACCCCATTGTCGAATTTTGGTTACCAAAGTTAAGCAAATTTGATATTTGATTTTGGCCTAGTTGTACTATACAAAATATTTCATACTATATAATTTTTAATAAATATTGCTTAATTTTGTCTGTTGATTAAAGAAATAAATCAAGATTAAAAATTTCAATTAACAACTAGATGAATTTGACATCCAGATCTAATTAATTTCATTAAAGAAAATAAATAATAATAAAGAAAAAACTTTATTAGATTTATATAGTCAATATCTACATTTTACTATCATTTGCTTAAAACAATATGTATAATTGTTGATTTAAGCTACAAAAGAATACATATTAACTCAATGATTTAAAATATAACCAAAACATCTTTACTACTAAGCTTCAAACTATAGGTTTCTTATATTTACTTGAAAAATATATA